CCCCAAAACCCCAAAACCCCAAAACCCCAAAACCCCAAAACCCCTTTTAGAACAGCTTTCTTTGAAAAATTATAAAATTTTATCTACTTCTTATTAACATTGACTGCAGGTAAAATTATGCTCTGAGGGCTGAATACAGCAGTGTCTCCCATTAGGACACTGGAACCTTTTATTCCTGAAGAGTATAAATTCTTGTTGGATTTCTCTGAAAAGATATTTGCATGAGACTCGTTCAAATCAAGCGATGGGTTCTTTGAAATATGTAGGTTTTCCAAACTATTTTAAGTGACCAAAAGCTTACTTATATTGATCAGGCAAGTTTTCGCCAGCCATTACTTCCTGGTTTTGGAAAGCAGGAGAAAAATCAGGGTTATTCCGTCTCAATTCTGAGTATTTTGCCTCTAATTTTGACCCGAACTGAGAGGAATTTGAATTATATTTTCTATTTTGTCTCTGTAACTTCTTCAATTGTTTTCTATTTGTCATCCTGACTCCTTTTCTCTGGGGTGATGTGCTAAATGGCTGGATATTCTCTGCAAAAGAGTCATTATCCTTTCTCTCGGAGTTATCTCGATGTGAGCTAAACTGTCCAGGAGCCTTCAAATTTATTATTTGGTTTGGGTTGCTAAAAAGCACACTCTTGCTAAACTCCTGCTGAGGAGCATATTGAACATCAGAGAGGGAAGACTTCTTGGCACGCAAATTTCTTTTATTTTCATTAAATCCTGGTCCAAGGAAAGAGTTCTGGATGACTCCAGTTCTCACATTTCTGAAAGAGCGGTGATCTTTCTTCTTCCGATCTTTTCCATGACTGGTGAAAGTATTTTTGTCTGTGATTTTACTCAATTTCCAACCCATAATTCCTCTACGGAGCATGGGAGTTTTAATGTTAAATGCTTTCTTTTCTGAAAATTATGAATAATTTTACCATTCTTATTTATTTCCGTTGATGTTTATCCTCCCTGATGCCACAATGGAATGACTTTGGGATGGAGTACTGGTTGACATAGTAGCTATCATATCTCTCAGGTCTTGGAAAACCACTAGCTCTCTCATTTTCATTGAAACCTTCTAAGAATGATGATTTGGAGAGTACCTGATTCAGTAGTAGTAACATGATTTACCTGCCGAATGGAGATATCAGCATGACTGTAATCATTATAACCCCCTCTTTTTGGACTTTCCTTGATGTAATCCTCAGGGTTAGTTGAGAGCTGTTGGCTAATCTGATCGTTCCTGTCAGCTTGGACTGTTGAATATTCTTCTTCCTTAATATTCTGTAGGGGCATCACTTGTTTCTTTGTTTCCTCATGGTTTTCCTCAGGAAGTTCAATATTTTTCTCAGATTTTATCGAAGACATATCGTCTTGAAGAACCTGTTGAGAATATTGAGTCTCATTCTGCTTATAAGTTGGATAGTTTGTTTTAGAAAGCAACGGTTTATCGATCACTATACCTCATCTGTTAAACATCTTCATTGCTACATCATTCGATTTATGCAGGGATGAAGATTTTTTGTGCTTCGAAGTCATTCTTGACTGTTCTATCGAACTCTGAGATTTTTCATTATAATATAAATAATTTGAGTCATTACTGTCTTGAATTTGACTAAGACTTTGGTTCTGTTGGTAAATTGATGCTTCAGTAAGTTTAGGCATTCTCATTTTCCTTGATAATATTCCCATTGAGCCCTCTACAACTCCTATATATTTGACAGTATAGGTCTTCAGATTATCTTTAGAAGGATCTTCTTCGTTCATATTTATTCAATAATTTTTAATTTCCAAGGGGTTTTGGGGTTTTGGGGTTTTGGGGTTTTGGGG